GTGAAGTCAAGTCAATATATTTTTGAATAAATTAATAGATCAGGACAAAAAAAATAAAAAATGACTGTCAAGTAATTCCACATTTTGGAGAGGGTTTTTTGGTATTCATTTTGGATAACTAAATTAGTTATTCACAAAATACCTGAAATTGGTATACCTCAAACATTTAGATTTTTTAAAAAGATATTAGGACATACATTTTTAATGTTCTATTTTAAATACATGCTGATTATTTGAACTTTCTAGTCATCAAAAAATCTTGAAAATATGTGTCATGAATTTAACAAAAATATTAAGCATCACAACCTTTTTCAGCATTTATTATAAGAAATGTTTCTTGAGCACCAAATTTGCATATTAAAATGATTTCTGAAGGATTATGTAAGTAAGAGTAATGACTGAAAAGCTTTGCCATCACAGGAATAAATCACATTTCAAAATATTTAAAAAAAACAGATATTTTTGATGATAGCGTATAATATGGCAAACGTTTTTCGACTATTCTGCACAGAATTGATCGTTTTTGTGCTACAGCATTACAAGCTCTTAGTAAAGATGATGAGTGCTGTTGTCCTGTGCGGTGCTCCAGCTATGCTGTGTTTTTGTTTATTTAAACATTGTGGCTGCAAAAAGGTCTTAGTTTTATGACCGCATGCCACCTCTCTGTTGGTTTATGCTGTCTCTCTGTCAATGTGGTTGTGATATTAAGGTGTGCTTTCATCTTTATGTCTTCCTTTTTCTCTCTCAGGTCTTTTATTAGGCAACAGCAGCAGTAAATCAGCCACTAGTGGGTCTGTGGTTCAGCCCACATCTGATTTCCTCAGCTTCTCTGATCCCAGCCTAAGAGCCGGTGACTCGTACACACCTCCATCCTTTAGCCGTTGCCACATGAAGGGTGGTGCAGAAAGCGCAGCCTCTGAAGGCATGGTGGCTCTCAACACCTTCAGCATGATGTCCCTCCCCCAAAGCTCCAGCTCAAGCAAGCATTACGAAAACTGTCACCCAGCCGGAGAGCTGGGAGGCCTGGCCTCGGCAGGCTACAAAAGACCCCAGCCCTCCTCATCCTCTTCTTCTGCGACATCGTCTTCATCTATTGGCGAGGATGGCGGGAAGAAGAAGAAGAGAGGGAACTGGAGGAACCGGTATGGACCGTGCTTCACCACCCAGGACAGTAAAACCACTGATACGGGAGAGCACGGGTCCACAATGCCCTCATCCACTTCCCCCTCGCCATCCTCTATGAGCACCATGGCCTGCCGCGGGAGTGCAGTCAGCAGTACAGGAGGTGTGGGAGCAGTGGGTGCTGGTAGCAGCAGTCTGGGGATTCAGAAGTCCCCATCCCTCCTCAGGAATGGAAGCTTACAGGGTATGACTGTCAGCTCCCCACCTGCTGGACCAGGTGAGCAGAGAAAAATATGTGCTGTACAATCAACAATAGATCTTAGTCAGGGTAGATGCCATCCATATTTTGTTTGTTTTGCAACGGTGTACTATCTTAAAGTCAACATGAAATTAAAATGGACCCTTTTTATTGTGAATTATTCATCTGTGCATATCAGGGATTAGAATGATTTAGGGCTGCACGATTAATCATATTTTAATTGTAATTACAATTTCTGCTTCTCACAATTAAGCATAGGCATCTATGATATTGTCTTGCTGGTTATTTATCCTGAAACGTTTTTTTTCCACTTGACATTTCTGATATCTTGCATTAACAAGTTTTACTGCTCAACAAGCTTTAATGCTTGTGGTTGCCAGATGTCAAGAGTTTAAATCCCCAGGAATTTTGCGCTTAGATGGATACATTTCTTCCTTGTGTTTTCGTGGTGCTTACATGAAACAGCAGTAATACTGATGAAATCAAAAATAAAAGAAAAAGAAAGAAATTTCTCAAATGAAATGACTGTGATTAATATTCGTGACTTGATCACGATCAACGAAAACTAGTTTTCAATGCTGAACATGAATTTAGGCATATATAGGCATATATCGACTGATACATTTAAAAAAAATCTATTAATAAAAACAAACCAGTTTGGACTGCTGTATTGTGCATCCCTAGTATGCATTATTCCAAAGACAATGTGTTTTCATCTTTGCTTTCAAGTGACTTTCAGCTGACGTCACCAACCTTTCTTGTTTTTTAACTATCTGCCCTATTGAGACCACTTTAGCTGATCAAGTTCATTTCGTTCTAAAATGCATCATATTACAGACTTAAAAAGGGTTGTAAACATCGTTTCGTGTTGACTTTGAGGTCCTTTGTTGCCCATGTTGTTGTTTTTTTTATATATATATATATAAGGGGTGACCCTGAATAGATTTGATGCTTCGATAGGAGGAGCCTGATTCGAATACCAATCTCACAGTCGAATATTCGCGGGGTGTTATGATCATGCCATTTTGACTATATGGGGGGTGCTCAAATGTCTGATTTCACATAGCAGCACTGGTTTTCTCCCAATAAGTTAATGTACAGCCTATTAAAATAATGCTGTAAATAAGAATCTGAAAAGAAAGAAGCTTCAAATAAATATTTTAACGTGCTTGAATAAATCCAACCACCCCTATAGATTTAAGTTAAGTTTCACTTTCCATAACCCGTGATCGACAGAGGAGCATCTTGGCTGCAGGGATTTAAAACTTTAACAAGACTCAAATTGACACAGGCAGAGTGAAAGACTGGATTTTTTCGATCAGGTAGGGTACAAATGATTTCAGAACATTTCAGCCGGTTTATATATATCGTGTATATATTATTTATCTCGTATAAGATGCATTTGGTTGAGTTGCGCTGCAGTAAGCGCTTCATTGTAGTACTACGGTGATTA